AAGCAAATCAAATTTGGGAAAAAATGAAGGCATAAACTGATGCAAGTCTTGAAAATTATGCTAGAAAAAGCAACCAACCTTTTGAATGTACATATACTCTTCTATAGAACTAACAGATCTAATTCTTCAAAGAAAAAAGACTAGTTGTAGAATATCATATACAAAAATCATATCAATCACGATGAACAAGTCTTCTCTTCCTCTCAATTTGATCTGTTGAGATCGATCCGAGGTTTCTTCACCGTTGGCAGCGGAACAACCGAATTGCACCGAGGACATTTAGGGTTATTTCTCATGGTGAGTACATAAGATAAGCAACCGGGACACCCTGCTGCAAATGGTGATGCAAATTGCTTGTCCTCACTGTCACTGTCCTCCTCCTGAGTTTCTTTGATGGGTGACGACGACGATGAGTAAGTTGGCGAAGATGACATCGATGACTTCAACATGGACGAAGACCGCCTCTTGATCGGCTCCTTCTCTGCTCTTTCGAGGGCGGATTTTACCTTGTCCAAAGTGCATAGGCTCTGGTAATTGCATGACGGTGGTGGTGATGATGAAACTAACTTCAAATCAAGGTTAGTGCTGGTTTCATCAAAGAGATTTAGTGGGATTTTCGACGACGCCGATGGAGGGAAGTTCAAATCTTGCATCTTTGGAACTGTTCGATTGGTTTGGCTCTTTTGATCTGAGTTTGAATGTGAATTTTGGGCACTGCACCTTTGAAGATACACTTTCCCTGACTGCAAACAATCAATATACAAATATATTAAGTACATAAATAAATAATAATAAAAAGGTGAGTTGAATACTTACAATTAATCAATTTACTGACATAAAGATATAGCTTTTAAAGAAAGTAAAATGGGATTAAAACTTGCAGAGCATTGAAGAACATCACCAAATTAATTGATTAAGTACAGAAATATATCCTCATCCTATTAATTACACACCCTTTTGAAAATATTTTTTTTTTGTTGAAACAATATCAATAGATAATTACAAAAGATTGTAACGACTTTCTCAGCAACCAAACAGACATTTCCAAATCAATGAATTATGCAAAAGAAAACACATCACATACAGACAATATCAGTTAAATTCATCAAAGAAACAGAATTGAATGTCATGAAATCAGAATTCAAAGCAACCTAATCGAAAACAAGAAAACAAGAACACAAAACCACATCAAAATCAAGTTCCCAAGTTTTTCCCACCAAGAAATGTAAAAACACACTGTTTGATTGATTCTCTGGAAACAAACATGACCCAGATGAGAAAATCGACCAACCTTCAAGTCCAAGCGCTTTTCCCAGCCATTGGGGACCTGTAAGTCGAGGTCCAGTTCCTGGGAGTCGTTGGGAAGCTTGGAAGAAGACGACCCACTACCACCAAGCAAGTCTCTTGTAATCAGGGCCGTTGATTCCTCACCACTAGAATCACTCCCAACGCTCAGATGTTGGTCGTCGCTGTACCCACTAAGAACCCGAAACAGAGAGCTAACATCAGCAGCCATTACTGGGGCCTTACAGAGCTTCGTTTTCTGAGGGAGAGAGAGAGAGAGAAGGAGAGGGGGTCTTTGGGATTTTATAGAGTCCAACTGTATATGGTAGTAAATAAATATAGCCCGTTATGTAATATTTAAAAAATAAATTGGAAATAAATTAAAAAATACATTTATGTTATTTATTGATTGCTAATTTTATTTGCTATTATTAATATTAGTTTGAATTTGAATTAAGCTAATAATAAATCTAATTCAATTTGGTTAATGCGTTCATTTATTGTTTGGGATATTAATTGATGGGGTTGTGGAAGGGTGGGAGGAGAATTCAAGGAAAGGAGGCACCTAAAGTTATGGTAGGCATTAAATGCTTTTGGAATAGGCTCTCTTCTTTTTATTTTTTATTTATTTATTTTTTTTTGAGAAATATTGGGAAGATTCTTTTAAAAGTGAAATTTTCTGTTATTTTATAACTTAATATTAATTTCAGTTTTAACAGTATAAAATATTGTCTAAAAAATATAAGGTGTTAGAGAGTCCATGAAGAGTTCCACGTTTGAGAGAATCCCCTTAACATTTTTCTATTTTTTGAAGCTTGTTTGAGATTGCTTTTATATGAAGTATTTCTACTCATAAACGTTTGTAAGGGCATCTCCTATGAGAGATGCAAAATGACCATTTTAAGGCATTTTACATCCTTTCTTTATTAGAAAATTCTCTAATGGCAGAATGTAAATTTGCTATTCATCATTTTTTTTTTTTTTTTTTACGTATTCTTAAAAAAAAAAAAAAAAAAAAAAAAGACACTTGAAAATACATCATGATGAAGCATCTGATAAGTGCTATTTCGAAAAGCATTCTATGACCGAAAGTTGCTGAAACAAACGGAGGAGAGAATCGACTCGTTCAGTATAATTCCCTACTTCTAAATTTTTCTGTCCAACCGAGACATCAAAATTGACTTTGAGAGCACTGAATTTAGGAGCATTCCATCTAATAGTTGGGATGATTTAATCAATAGAATAATAGGAGTTCGTAGGCCTCACATTACTCTTGCTAACGCTATCTGCACTTTTCAGGACATTCATCGGGTGGCAGAGATCCCATCAAAACCTTTGTTAGCTAACTGTGATTAGTTAGAGAGAAAGCTTTGGGAGGGTGAGAAATCTTCATGTGTTCAACTTTCTTTCCGTGTTCTAAACACATTGTTTTTAAATTCCCCTCCCCTTAGTCCCTTCTATTTGAATGGTCACAATTAAATCACGTCAATATTTTAACTTATTTATAGTTTTTTTTTTTTAGTACATCGATATTTTTACACTTAAGGCAGGGGGACTTTAGTTAAGCCACACAATGGGCAACCTAATTTGGTTTCGAATTTGTCATCCATGAGATTCGAACCTAAGATCTCTCACTTCCAAGTGAAGAGGAATACCACGAAAGCGTAGTATTGAGTGGCGACTTATTTATAGTTAGTGAGGAGGAAAGGGAGGGGGAGAAGATCTAGAGGGGAGATATAATCCTACTCCCTATGCTTAGATAACATATATATGTTTATGAATAATGATAGCTAGACCAAGTTTTTAGACCAAAATTGCAAACTATGTGATGAGTCACAAATAGGAAATAAGCACGATAATTAACAATTAAGTAATAATTCAATCACCAACAGCCACACCATATAGTTTACAAATTTTGATTTAAATAGATGGTCTCCCTACTATTATCCAGTCTTTATAACTGAAACTTGTTAAGATTTCATAATTTATATCTTATTAATTAACAAACTATGTCTCTAACCACATGAGTGAATCCACAACAATTGAAATTATATAAGATCAAAGAAAATGGTAGAATCTTTATAAGACTTTCATAATGCACTCATAGTGCCACAATAAGATTATAGGGTCACAATTTGACTTGGCACAATAAGATATCGAATTCACTATGTTATCCTCATCATTTGTGTAGCACAAAACTGAGTCCGTCTTAAACTAATAGAGCTTTTACTTACTTTCAATTACCCAAAATCAATGTGAGACTGAATTTGTTAGCATTGGTGGTTAGTAAACATAGGAGATATGATATGAATGAGAATGATAATTGTTCCTTGAAATATGTTCTTTAGAAATAAAATGTTTAAGTAAAGAGACATACCACTAGATCAAAAGTAAGTTTATTTTTTGCAATCATGTCAAGATTTGTGTTTGTGTGTATCTTTAATGTATTGTGATTTTTTTAGTGAAACGATAACGGTTTTATTAAATATGAGGGTCATTCAAACAAACGAAAAAAAGCCAAAGCAAAAAAAATTGGTGAATTAGCCAATTTAATAGCCACAATATTGGCGAATATGTGAGTGTAACAAGCAACAAAACAACTCACCTTACACTTTAGAGCCAAGAGAACATTAATTAAAAAATAATAATCCATATTCTAGAAATTAGAAAATATTTAAAAGAGTAAAAGGAGTAAAAAGTAGCACATAGATTGATATGAAAGAGGTTGTTATGTGCTATAATTGTTACAAATTTACAACGAAACAGAAAGAATTATTTGACCACTTAAACTTAGATGATGATAAAGAAATTAAATGAGTTTTAGCTTTTTTTTCTTAAAAAGGGATCAACTGGTTGCCAACGCAAGCACGACAATCTACTTTTTCGAAGGTTGGAAAAACTCACATATACATTTTAGCCTTTGTTGACCATCATCGTGTGGAATATGGATCTGAAATTCGTCCTAACTACTGAGCCATTATGTAGTGGTTAAATGAATTTTAGTTGGTGTGCATGAATATACATAAGGGGAAATATTTGCGCTCACCATAATTGGTATTCATCACCCAATTGATTTGTCGTTAGATGAGTTTAACTCTCAAACTCATATAGCGGTAGTTAATGATACAGTGAGTATTACCATTACTTAAGGGATGTAAGCAAAAATACACTCTATATAATTAAGAAAATTACTTAGCAGCAAAGTAGCTGGCATCAAAGACTAAGGTTCATTTCATAGTGTATTATTCTTTTAATTATTGGTCTAATTGTATTCAATGATTAATAAGTTCCATATCAGAATATGTAGTATGCAACATTGCATTTTGACATTTGTATTTATATTACGAGAAATTGACTCTTTTAAAGTGAGACACTTCATAGATTCTTTATAATTTCATGTTTTTTCACAATATTTTATGGGTAAATTATAAAAAATTACCTTAACTATGGGTCGAACGACACTTTCATACCTTATCTTTTAAAAATGACAATGTTATACCTCATTTTACAAATTTGTTCCAATGTCAGACCTCTGTCAGTTTATCTGTTAATTTCTCTATTAAGTGTTGACGTGGCTAAAGACGAGGCCCACTCACTAATCCAAATGGATTAAAAAATAATTAAATATATTTTTAATAATTAAAAAAATTAAAAATAAAAATATTTTTTTATATAAAATTATGGGATCCACATCTCTCTCTCTGTCGGCACCTGCATCCCCAAAATCATAAAACCCAGGATCCCATTACTAATCTAAAACCCAAAATCCCATCAAACCTCCCAAAGCTCACAAAGCCCCAATTGGTATCCCTCTCCTCCCTCTCCGCTCTCTAAATCTTGTATCCGTCCTGCATATCGACCAACTTCTGAATTTGTATCAATTTCTGAGTGTTATGTGTGGATTTCTCCCATATTTTATTTTACTGATCGTCTAATCAGTTTTCTGGTACATGCAGAACGCATTCCAAATTATGTACTTTTTCTGGATATGGGTAAATGATCTGCTCTCACTTAATATCTCTATCACTTTTTGAACTTTGAAGTGCATTTCACGTCTAATACTCAAATCGAATGAAACTTTGCTGCAGTATTCATTTGGGTTGAAATCTTGCTTCCATGCCAATTTCAAGCTCGCAATCGCTAAAGTAATTCCGGGTAAGCATTTTCTCCCTTGATTTATTATGTTCTTGCTTGGCTCTAATGAGATTGGTGAGGGAGGAGGAGAGGGATACCAACTGGGGCTTTGATGGGATTTTGGATTTTTGGATTTGTAATGAGATTCTGGGTTTTGGGATTTTGGAGATGCAAGTTGCCCAGCAAGAGAGAAGAGAGAGGCGAGAGAGAGAGGATGGTGGAGAAAGGTTGGAGGGACGGGTCGATCTTATCCACGTTAAGGAGGTGGGCTTAGCCTCACAATGAGCTAGTAATAATGTGATTCAATCAATTGTTTATTAAATATTATTTTTTCTATTCTTAATGTAAATTTTATAAAGATCGATTTTATTACGTGAATTCAGCTACTTTAATTGGTTTATGAGGGATTTCTTTTAGCATGATATAAGATTATTCATTTACTTCAAATATTTGACTTTCCTTTTGTCAATTTACGCATATAAATATATTTAAAACGTGTAACACGCCATGATTCAAAAAATATATTCTGCATACCCATAAGCGAGAAGGCTAATGAATTTATAGTGAGTTTGACACCAAAGCATGACTTATTAGATTGTTCTAAATGAATTAACAGGTTACTGCATCAGTAGTATTTTTAAATATCTTAATTACTTGGGAAAAAGGAAAACGAAATTCGTGAGGAGCACGAATTAATAGTGCTTCATTACTCGTAGTCATGTGTGTTCCTCCGCAGACACGTCATCGACTTTAGTTTAGTTTACGTTTGGTGTTTACACGGCCTAGAGCGAGCTTTGGGTCACTTCAGTGATATATGGTGGCCTCGTTTTTTGCGGTGGTTTTATGTGAGGTTCACGGTGTTAAGGAATTTGTCACGTTTATATCTTTTTTGACAAATAGGGTCCGACACCATCTTTGTTCTAATGGCGTAAGGGTGTAAATTGATTTGTATTTTGTGCGAATTATCTTCAAATTAAGAAATTGATCAATGAAGAATATGTACATCTCTGGCACCTGTTATACTTGTTGTTTGTGGTAATAAAGTTAAAAATTAAAGTACGCATAACGAACAAACTAACAAACCGAAGAACAAATAGACTATAAATGAAGATAAGTTTATTAACGGAAAGCGTAATGCTAGGGAGACTAAATGTGTAGACTAAATTTTGTAAACTAAATGATGACATGAAAGTTGATAATTGGATTATCACTCAAGTGTTAATTAACGCGCTTCTTTCTTATTGGTAACACATCATTTAATTTGCAATATAGTGTACAAATTTAGTCTTCTACTATCCTAGCGAAGAAAAAAAGGTTTGTCATGAGGGTTACAAATTAGAGGACTACATTATATTGAATTGTATGATACGAGTTACAAGGCATCTTATCTTATTTATAGAGAAAATGAAAGCAAACAATGCAAGAAATAATAAACTTAACCGACAAAAGAAAATCAATAAAATAACAATAATACTAGAACTAATTTTCCAACAAAAGAAACACTTTATCGCTTCTGTCAAGAAATAATATTCTTGTGTATTTGCACAAAAGAGTCTATTTGTTTTGTCGGGCACTGATTATGCTATGAGATTTGAATTTTCTTTTATATATCGATGGAAAAATAAAATCTATTTGTTTTGTTGGGCACTGAAATGAATAATTAGGAATTTAGGTGCGATTATTGAAGGCAAATGGAATCAAATCATTTTCCTTGGGAAATTATAATTCCAGTTTCTTTTGACCTCAGAATTTTTATCTCGTAATCAGTTTTGAAGGTGCATGGCATGTGAAGTGGAGGGAGGAGTGCATCAACAAAAGAAAACAAGAATTATGACAAATAACATTTATAAATAAAAATACTAGAAATTGAGAAAGTCTAACTATTGTCACGTACGCAGACAAATGACAACCGTTTGTTAATGGGTAAGTGACATATATGAATCTTAACTGTTCGTTTATGTGTATGGCTGATGTTTATTTCACTACGTACGTTGATAATTAATTGAGATTTACGTGAAGACGGTGATTACCAAAACCCTAAACAAGATTGTCCAAGAAAAGGTAAAATGAAAAAAAAAATTATTTCTTCTCGCACAAGAAAAAGTAAGTTTATTATTCCTCGTGGCCGTACGCGTGCTCGACCACGAAGCTTCTGAGTTAGGGCTTCGCGGTGGTTGATCACGACGTTATTAAAGTTGTAAAGATTAGTTGGTTGATAATTTCAAGGCTTGTGATATAATTAGGAGTTAAGTGTGATTAGCTACAAGATTGATTGTTCCGTTAAATGCATTTTGGTTTATTTAATGAGTTAGGAGAGGAATTCAAAGAACAAAGAGACAGGGGGCATGCAAGCAATAATAACATTGAATGCCATGAAATATTGGTAGACATATATTCGCGAGTTCAAGTCATTTTAACTTAATTTATCTTTAGTTTTTAATTGTTTTATTGAGAAAATAATTTGGAGAGTTAACTGTTAAGTGAGGTTTAAATCAATGGTCAGATGTCAATAAATAAATGACGTCTTAAGTTCGATTTTTTTCAAAAGAAAATTTGAACCACATTATTGCTAACTCATTGTGAGGCTTAGCCAACCCCCTTCCCTTTAATGTAGACAATATTGTTTGTTAAAAAAAAAAAAAAAAAACAAATAAGATATTGGGTTTTGGGTGTAGACGTCAACGAAAATCTCCTAGTAGCTAGTTGTTAGGTAGGTGCTTGTGGAGGTAGTTTTGCATGAAGTTTGTTTTAAGTTATGGGAAGAGATCCTCTTCAGATCTCTCCCATCAAATCCATCCAATTCATTAATCCGTATCATTAAAATTTGATCCAACATTTACAAACAGGAGGCTCCTTTAAAAGTTATAATAATTGTAGTCGTTGGATCAAATTTTAATGGCCCGGATTAATGGATTGGGTGGTTTTGGTGGGAGAGATCGGAAGAGGATCTCTTCATATATTCTAAATACATGATACTTTTGGTAATTTTAGAAAATTTTGTATTAATTTGATAAGTTAAGCATCATTTCAAGTAAGTATTTGGCGTACGAGAAGTGATTTTCGCACACCCTCCTCTTATTTATAACTATTGGATTAAATAAATCAAACAAAATCAACGGCAATGATTAAACATGAGTGTGTACAAGGCTAAAAAAACTTGTGAAAATCACTTTCCTTAGCGTATTAGACTTGACATTCTTCCCACCGTGTTTAATCTGGCTAGATTAACCGATATTATATGTGTGGTGAGTTCGATACCTAGGATTTCGACTATCACCACACTCATCATCTTGTATCCATTTAAGCTAAAACCTATGGTTTCTTTACGTAGATTATCAAAGAAACCACACTGCAAACAAACAAACAAACAAAGAAAGAAACCACACTGCAGTCATGAGCATTGCGTGGACAAGTACATGACTGAATTGAATGCTTGAGCTTCGTATTTTCATAACCTATAAGAAAAGTAAAAATACAAGGGAGCGCATTTATCGTTGTCTATGTATTTAGGCAAAGGAAGGTACATGTATTAAATATGAATTAAGAAATGCTAAAGAGACTATCTCAAAAGTAGGACTATCTATGGATTTCTTACTACCTCACAGTTTAACATCAATTTTCATAACAATATTATAAATATTGTACAAAAAACATGAGATGACAGAAAGTACACCAAGAATTCCACTTTTGAGAAAGTCTCCTTAGCCTTTCTTATATGAATTTCAATGCTGCAATTAATAATACATTTGTGAAATACCATTTATCAAAAAAAAAAAAAAACAAAAACAAAAATAATAATAATGTGAAACCAAATTGCTGAGTTGGTTTGTACAATTGGAAAATAGGAATAGGAGGACTTTTGGTTTGACAACTAATCCAGCCTAAAAACTTGGGCCTCTTTTGGGCTAGAAAATTTGGGCTAGTGTACACCAAAATTGGGTATTTACACCCATGCATTTGATAAGTATACCCAACACCAAAAGAAGTTCTGAAAGTTTCAATTTGGGATGGTGGTGAATATGTACTTCTCTTATTCACTAGAAAAAATGCAAGTGGTAGTGAAATTTTCAATTTTGTCATTCTTAATTAGCTTTTGTGACATTTTTCTAAAACTTAATATTTCAAAAATTATGATTAAGACATAAATAACACATAAGATAATGATGTCGTAAGAAAGAGAGTCTTGTGCTCGGACACTTGTATAGGGCAACAAACACAATCAAACATTAGGATGAGATAAGTTTCTAGTGGATAAAGCTTTTCACGTCAACTCACTGTGTCGCGGATTCAGACTATCTCCCACTCTTATAGCGTAGTTCAAAGTAGTAATATCGCTTGGAGAACCACGTTGATTTTCCTATACAATAATTCAGGCACTAAAATGATGGAATTGAAAGTTGGGGAACCAAATTGATAATCGATAAATACTTCGGGGGCATCGGTGGAGAAAAAGGAACAATTTTTTATCAAGTAAATACAAAACCTTCACTCTCAGAGGAGACCCAAAACCAGAGAGAAAAAAATGCAGATTTTCGTGAAAACCCTAACCGGAAAGACCATCACTTTGGAGGTCGAGAGCAGCGACACCGTCGACAATGTCAAAGCCAAGATCCAGGTACACTTTCTCTCTCCCTCTTTATTATAATAGTGGATTTTCAGCTTATTTGTTTATTTATTTGTTTTATTGGTAGGAAAATCTGTAATTTATGGGAAAAATTTGTATAAAGTATAATTATGGCTGGATTTTCTATAAAAATTAGGTATCTGTTGAATTGGTGGGTTTGTGATAATCTTTAATTAGTATTTTGTGTTAAGAGTTATTTGGCTTAGTGGGTATAAGTATGTACAGCATAAGAGCTTCAATGTGATTAGGAGATGATGGTCTGTTTAGTGGTTAAATACTTTTGGTTGCAGAGAGAAAAGGGAAATTTTGATTTTGAATGTTGTGATTTTGGTTTTTGATCAACACTTTTGGTGCGTTTGGACGGGGGACTTTAAAGTTCCATGGATTTTAAGACAATCTGTCAGGAATGAACTACGAAAATTAGATAGCGGGATTTGAAAATGAGTAGGTGCAATATATCCTTTGTTTAGTGTCCATTTGTTGTGTTTTAGTAATAGCCTTGTAGTTTTGCAGTGCTTGATTTTCATTGGCAGTGTTCTTGTAGTGCATTTTAATACTCGAGTCTAAAGTTTCTTGGTACTTTATAGTCCCTCATCCAAATTAGCATTAACACGTAATGATTTTCATTGGTGTATGCTATTATCAGGTGGTTTAATTTTTATTGATGCGATTAGAGGAGTTTAGTGATGTATATAGTTGTGGATAGAAAATATACAATAAGAAAGGATCAAGATAAGCAGATCTAGGACTCAATATGTGGAATGTAATCATAGAAAAGAAGAGATACAATCATACAAGCATGGAGGTGGTGAAAATCAATGGTTAACAGAGAAGAAACTTAAAAGTTTTCTTATCCAGGCTTGTGTGGTAAACCAGTGAGGTGTCTCAACAAAAGCAGCTTTTGATAAAGCAATTGAGACTATGGCGTCTGTGTTATTGCGTAGAATTTCTTCTGATTGGAGAACTGACTAGTATACATAATATTAAAGAAAAACTTATAAGTGGTACACGATTAATATTTTTTATTTTTTTTTGTTATTTATCGAAAAAAAACTATACATCATGAAAAGCTCCACAAAGTTTACATGTAGGCTTTTGTTTGCAATTATTTTTACCTTCCATGCTTCGAGGGGAGTATTTGTTGTAATTGTTGTTATGGGATGTCATGGTTACTCTACATAATTGTTTTCAGGATAAAGAAGGCATCCCTCCTGATCAGCAGAGATTGATTTTTGCTGGTAAGCAATTGGAAGATGGCCGAACTCTTGCAGATTATAACATCCAAAAGGAGTCAACACTTCACCTGGTTTTGAGGCTGAGGGGAGGAACTATGATTAAGGTGAAGACTCTGACTGGAAAAGAAATTGAGATCGATATTGAACCAACTGATACCATTGACCGGATCAAGGAAAGGGTTGAGGAGAAAGAGGGAATTCCCCCTGTGCAACAAAGGTACTTTTTATTTTTCCGGGCTATGCTAGCTTTTAACTGCTAATAAGTTGAACACTTCACTCAAAGTAATTTCTGATGGTTAACCGGTATTCTAGCTCCGGGGTCCTGGCCAATTTCAAGTAATTATTGTTTGTTGCCGTTTCATTTACGTGTGTGGATTTACAATTGTTTGCAGGCTTATTTATGCTGGCAAGCAGCTTGGAGATGACAGAACAGCTAAAGACTACAACATTGAGGGTGGCTCTGTGCTTCACCTGGTGCTTGCACTTAGGGGTGGCAGTCATTAACAGAAGGCACAAAAGGCCCTATGGTTTCGAATCGGAGGTCCTAAAAATTTATGTGTCAAAAATGAAGCCAAACCTTTTGAAGCCTTCAAACAGTCAATTTCATGTTCCATTTGTAAAAAATAAGCATTTTTCATCAATGTGTTTGCGCCTCTAGGAGGGTTTTGTTCTACAATAGAGAGCGAGAGTAGGCTTGATAACTTGAATAAAACAATCTTAATGTAGGTTATTTAACGTTATAAATGATTGGGGTGTATTTAGAAAAGAAATTTAATTTAAACCTTTTAGGACCTAAATAGTCATTTCATGCTGGAGTAAAAGTAAATTAGAAGCCAATAATCACAATTTTTTAGTGCAGGATTAATGCCCCGTTTGATATATATATATATAATTTTTTTTTTTTTTTGTCAAAAACAGATTCACTTTAAAGTTAAACAATAAAAAAATGTTTGGTAAAAATAAAATATTTTGTTTATTTAAAAGCAATAGTTTTTAGATAACAACTTTATAAAAAATGGAGTTTAATCTTTAATGAATATTTTCAATTCATGTAATACTCTCATTAGTTTCTAAAAATAACATTACAAATCTTTCTACACACATTTTATCCCTTAGAGAACAAAATGACCACCATCACCTACCACTACAAACACCAACTTTACACTACTATTGCCATTACCACCACTACCACCACCCCCACCACAACCGCTGTTGCCACTGCTCCTACCATAATTGTCACCTATGCACACCAACCATCACAACACACTATTGGCATCACCACCATACGCCCACCACTGTCGCTGCTCGTACCATCGCCGCCGCCACCATCGTCATCGTCGTCAACACCCCAATTACCATGTCTATTCTTGTTATTATATACAATTATATCACTTTTACATTAAAATTTATTAAACGTGTTTGCACTACTTTTCATACTCAGAATACTTTTCAAAATATAATAAATTAAACATTTAATTGTTTTATTTTATAATTAATTATTCCTAAACCACAACAAAAACAATTAAAAAAACACAACAATCTAAAGCTGACTCTATTTCAACTAAATTTCGGAAACCCACTCTCTCAATAAAATAGTGAGGAATTACATTACGCCATACGGCACCTTCTGCGCACAAAGAATAAAGAGGCACGTACCATGCTACCCCATTTGAACTTATATTTTTCAACAATTATGTATTATTTCGGGTGTCAACAAGTAATTGTTCTTATATTCTTTAACATAGATGGCAAGTGACCATTTATCACATCACAGTGTTGAAAATGTATTGAATCATTGTATGATGGTATAGATTCGAATCCCGTCAGTAAAAATTCATTATTTGACAAAATAAAAAAAAAATAAAAATTCTTTAACATGTATATATCATTAATTTTTGTGGGAGCATTAAGGAAACATTAAAAACTGCGCTTTGGAAAGAAAATATAATACAAAATAAAGTAAAAATGATGAGGACTAAGAATAACCCATAATATATATGTCATAGATTTGATAAATATTTGTAGGAGCGTTATCTAGGCTCAAACCTGGTACTAGGGGTGCCATTTGGGTTGAGCCAATCCGAACCCGCCTATGTCCAACCCGATTTTAAATCCAAACAAGTGGTTTTTTTTTTTAGTTATAACCAACTCGAGCTCAACCCAATTTAAACCCGTTCATTGATTGGGTTGAGTTGGGTTGATCATTTGCCCATTCATCCCCAACCCAACCTGACTAACCAAACCCAGTATAACCAGATTGTGACCCGTATTAATTAATGCTTATACTACACCTAAGTGAGCTAAGTCCAAAAACCAACGCACTTTCTAATATTTTTTTTTAATAAATTACCCTTTATAATTACTTAAATCCTTTGATTAGTCAGCCCATATTTGTAGTCTTTAAATCCTAAAGCTTTATAGTAGATGGATTTATGAAATTAAAGTTAGCTAGCTTTGATGCTACTTGGCTTAATTTTTAAGGAATTCTTGAAAACTAAGTTGTTATAAGATTAAACTTAAAAAAGTTGGGCAACCCAAACCCAACCTAAGTAAACCCTAACCCAATTAAATCCGAACCTAAATAAACCCGAATGAAACCCAATCCGAATCCGAGCTCGAATTGTAAAAGTTGGGCTATAATTGGGTTGACCTTCCAACTCGCCTGAGTTGCACCCCTAACAGGTACTAATCAATACAACGTACCTACTTAATATTTTTTATTTATTTATTTTTTGGTTGTCAATGTACCTACTTTATTGTTTATCAAAGTCAACTCCTATTTTGTACCAAAAATTCATGCAGTACAAAATACTCAAATGTTTTAACAGTTAGATATTTTTATATTTTAAAATAAAGATTTAATAATTAAAAAATTTAGAATACCAGTACTCCGGAATATCCAAATGAGCTTTTTAACCAAAATGGTATTTGAGATTTTCATAACACATAACTTTGGTTCATAAGATTGTCCACCATCCATTATTTGCTCATTCCATTAAAAAACTTTGTTAAGTGGTTCCTGAGCTTTTTAATGGAAGGACCAAAATGATAGATGATGGACAATCTCATGGACCAAAGTTTTGTGTTATGCAAATCTTAGGGGCCAAAGTTATGTGTTATGCAAATCTCAGGAACCAAAGTTATGTGTTATACTCTCAACTTAACGGAGTTTTTTAACGGAATGACCAAAATAATGGATGATGGACAATCTCAGGGACTACTTCTATTGATTTTAAATCTCAGGGGCCAAAGTTATGTGTTATACCTTCAACTTAATGGAGTTTTTTTAACGGAATGACCAAAATAATGGATGGTGGACAATCTCAGGGACCACTTCTATTGATTTTAAATCTCAGGGACCAAAGTTATGTGTTATGCAAATCTCAGGACCATTTTATATAAAAAAACCTATCCAAATGAGTCCCTACTTTATACTTCACAACTTATCAAAAAAGCAGTTCACAATAAAAAAAATATGGATAATGCTAAAGAAATAAAATTTGGAGGTTAGGTTTTGGAAACTAAAGGATATGGAAGTTGACGATTGGTTTATTACTTAAACGTTGATAAACATGTTTATTCTTATTAATGACACATTATTTAGTTTACAAATTTAGCTTCCAAATTTAATCTCCTTAGTATTACTAAAAAAATATACCTACAGTATAAATTTTTTTTTAATGATTAAATTAAGGAAACTTTAACGAAAAGCTCCCGGCACTGTTCACTATAACGAGCCACATTTTTACATTAAAAAGTCAATTATGATACTATTCACTTTACCTTTTATTTTGTCATTTTCGTTAAAACTCAAAATTTTCAAGCCTTTTTCATTAGTTTTTCCTTAAGTAGCTGGACACTTTAGAGTGAGGAGTGTGCATTTCTCTTCGTTTCTTCATGTTTTTTTGGTTATGAAATGTATTAACATGTTGCTCAAAACATTATTGTTATTGATAATATGGGATGACGCATCCATTTTTTAATATACAATTGTAAATACACATCCTGTACAAAAAAATTTAAATTCGTACTTGTAAGAATATGAGTACGTAAGTGGTTGTTATAGCTGGTTGTTTCAAATTGATGCATAAAAAGTCTTATGAAAATAAGATTACTTTGTCATAATTTACATGAAATTGGACTTAGTATGTAAACTGGTTGCTACCACTTATAATTTGATAAGGAGATTATTTTAGTGTTCTACGTGAATTTTAATAGGAGAATCGTATAGATTGTTTGTCTTTATAAATGGTAGTCACTGCTTTCAAAGAAATACATCTCATTATTGAACTTAAACCTATTATGAGTCGAACATATTATTTCTGCAAGAGACGAGAAGCTTATTATTTAAGTTGACTATGACTTCATCTTCATCGTTTTTAAAGGTCATATTTATTCTTGCAAGGCCTGAGATAAGGATTTTTAGTACCTTTATTGAAATGAAAATCATTTGTCCATATACCTTCTGTCCAAGTTGAAAATTTCCTGAGATGATCACATCTTCTCATCAAGGCATTAAAGTACGTATTTGAATAGATTTTGTATGCAAAGGTAATATTAGAGCAGTTATATATATATATATATATATATTATGAATGCAAACTGTTGATATATTATTGATAATTTAATTGCTTACAACAAATCATATTGACATATTATTGATGTATTTTTAACAATATTAATGCAAGTCCATTCTTTAGTCTGCACAAAAAAATTCTGATAATTTATTTGCCTACATCTCAAAACATATCCGCTGCCATTTAGTATTTACAATAAATTAATAATCACTAACTACATTAGGCCATGCACCACGCTGCCCCCTTCGAAATATGAACATATAAACAAACTTCCGAGTTTAGTCACTCCATTTGAAAAATAGACGGCATGCATGATATATTAGTCTCCCAAATCACTAAAGTGAATGTGCATTAGTTAGATTCATTTTGTAAGAATCGGTAGCTACCTATCGAACTATTTTGAAACTTAAAACTCTTAAATAAGAAATTGATCCAAGCCCTAGTCGATATAACCCCATCCTGTTCACGATTGAAAAGCTCACATACGGTTGAAAATTAATACTTAAAACCCATATACATAGTTAAGGGCATGCCACATAGCTCTGATGTGTCCATATTTTGTTATCTTTTTAACGAATATTTTCAGAAAAATTGTATTTCGATTGGGTTACACAATAGGGTGCTCAGAGTTACACGAAAGCAAAAAGAAAAACAAGCTTTTAGGGTGCTTAGAGTAATTTTTCCATGCAAAAGGATTTGATGATCCGAGTCGAAGCGATAACAATATTGAAGTTGTGTTGAAGCAAGCAAAGGAAAGTAGTGGCTCGGTTTTAGAGAATTTGAAAAAACTGTCCAAGTTATTTGAGGGGAGATCTAATACTAGTTTGTTATTAATTTACTTTTTCTTTTTATTTTTAATAAGGACCTAAGTCGATTAGGTTAAGAAATAAATTGCCCTTGCCTTACCGTGAGTTTCATATAAGGAGTTTCTTTCTTCTTGTGAGAAAAAGAGACAGAACAAAACAGAGGGTTGCGGCACAAAATGGAAGATACGTCAGAGATTTTTTTTAGAGCTACGATGTAGTCTAATTATGAATACTTAATTTTTTTTGGTATTGTTATTATCAAGCTTTTTGTCCA